GCCTTTAAGGAAGGTGTACACTGTTTTCTTGAAGGCCCCTAATCTTCAGTACTTCTAGTGCTGCGTCCGAAAGTAACGTCAAAAACTGCAACCAAACTTTTCGGTATATTGAAGATTTTCAAATTACATAATATGGATCAAATTTAATTTAAATTATACAACTAGACAATATACTTACTAGGTTCATAGTTCACGTAAATTTCACAAGAGCCGTGACTTAGAACAAGTTAGGTTAGCCGAGTTATCATCGGGTGATTCAAACTTATCTGCTTCAATAAATTCGAGGCCGAAGGTAAAACTGACGCAACGGACACTTCATAAGCCTTGCGAGCGATTTATTGCACGAAGCTAGTTAACAAGTATTCAATGCTTAATAGTCATTTCACTAGGTTTATTGAGGTTAGGGATTACAGCGAGATGAGAAATAATGTTAATTGGCATACACGTATCTTAGTAAGTAAAATTGGGGTTTTTCCTGATAGCTCCTGATAATAACTGGTGTGGTATGATCTTGAAAAACTTATACTTTTTTCTATATATGTTTATATGTGACTATTCTTAAGTTGCCTCAGAATTAGCGAAAATTTTGAATGTTCTGGTGGTAATAAATTCACTTTTTTAGGGTTCAGTCATATGAGGTGATAGGAAAAAACGGAACGTTTGTCTGTCACGACCCTTTTTTTAAAGTAAAATAACTTCCAAAGGACTTTCGTCAAACCATGCAATACTGTTTTATCCAGACTGAACTGGTTTTAACAGTCTCTTAAGACTAGAATTACCTACAATTAAGTATCTGGTTGATGATGAAAAGTTTAGGAATATAGAGTAAATAGCGACGGACAAAATGCAAACAGAAGATCAATAATTTAAGTTCTTTAACTAGTTGCAATTACTTCGAAGTTAGAAAGGTGTCAATATCAAACCGTATGTCTTTTAGATGATTATCGACTGCGATAAAGCACCTCGTGATTGACCTCATGTTCTATAACAACAAACATTACGCGAATAAATCAACTCCCACAACACAAGTGAAACGAGGCTATTTATAGCGCATACTACGTTAATTGTGATGTATTTACGTTTTTAGTCAGTTATGGTAATCTGCAAATCCTGGGTTCGAATCCCGATATGTAAAAATATGTTTCGTGATCTCGATTTATTATACAATGTACATTTATCCGATGTTCTCGGGGTGAAGGGAAACATGCAACCTGCATCTGCGAAGAAATTCAAAGATGTGTTAAATCAACTCGCACTGGGCTAGCGTGGCTCACCACTAACTTAGGGTAGGCTCCGAGCCTCTCAGTTGGGACGTATAGTGAGCTGATGGTGTTGATAAGGTACGGTTTACATAAGAACAATACGAAAAGTTAAATAACAACTATGAATCAAAACTACAGTACGCTAAACACATTAAGCAACCATCTCCACGCCCACAGGCTTAAGAGATTAACTGAACTGACACTCCATTGTCATGTTAACAAAATTCCGCAAACGGTGACAAATAGAAGGAATAAGACAAACTTTATGAAGGACTAAGCGAGGTTAGACACGACCGTACCTTTAAAACGTTTATTGAAAGGTATTAATTTAAATAGATTCGTATTTGTTTTGTTGTCATGTCTATTAATTTTACGATACTATTGTAGTAAATATTCAATTTTATAAGAGAAACGATTTGTATGAATAATGTTATTACAATCATTGCTATTTTAAGTTGTTATTGTATCAGTTTAGGAGTAGAGGGCCTAAATATTTTTAATATAATATTATCTTACTAATATTATAAATGCGAATGTTTAGATGGATGGATGTTTGTTTGAAGGTTTCTTCAGAACGGCGAAAGGGACCCGGCTGAAATCAAATACAGAACATAGTCTGGAACAACACATAGGCTACTAGGTTTTTTTTAATTCCGAACGGACGGAGTCGCAGAAGACAGTTTTTTAAATTATATAAAAATATATTATGTTAGTAAATCTGCTAAAAGGAAATGGATTGACGTATTTTAATCAATACTTCATCCGTTTCTCCTATCAGTATTCAGCATCACGCAACTGACGCACATAAGCACTTCATATAAATAGCTGAAACACAGTTATTTAAAATTAAATCGTTATCAAATGCATATCACAAACCAGAGGAAATTCCCGCATTCCATACCGGTGTTTACCTTATTGATGGATTTAGTCGGATTGATGACAGATAATAAAAAAAAACATGCATTATCAATTAAATGATAAGGCGATTGAATTATTTGAAGTTCAACATAAATTCTTAGATAACGATTGAATATGTATTTCTCAGTATAATCGTATCGATACATTCTTATGAAGTGTAATTAGTAAGTTATATTGTTGGCAAGATATCGCAGAACAAGCTTAATAGCGATATTCTAACCGTGAGTTTACAGAGCCGAAAGACAAACGTGTATTGGTAATTCCGTTTTCTTTCATTTTACAAAGATGATTTGTAGGATATCTCAATGTAAACCCACATCAAAGAATTCTCTGACTATAACCTGGGTACCCACGTGAGATACAGGAGTACGTGTTATGTAATTAAATTTAAAAGATCCGAAATAAATACGAATTCGTGGAACCATTGAATTCACACTTACAAAGTGGCAAATAGCGATGGTGTTTATTTTGTCAAAGGTTACTGTCATTGACGTAGTGCCTTTATAACTTTTTAATTATTCAACAGGATATCTGCGACAATATTTTGTTTACACTCATTGATGCTGTAAGATAGATGATAAAGATTTTTTTAAATATTTTATGACGAACATTTTTAACATGGAAGGATCATTTTACATATATCCTTTATTACATAATCCATCCACATTTTTTTATCCCATAAGGTGGCAAACGAGCGAGCAGCTACCTGAAATCTGCAATAGCGAAGTGACCGTTGCCCACTGACATACGCAATTGCATCTGCGTTGCCCAACTTTAATCGACGGAGAAGAGGATTCACGGAAAGAAAATATTTTCCCCTCCCCTGCATCCACTCATCCGGAAAGTCCACTTCCTTTTCCCATCCTTTCCTTATAAGAAAAAGGGTGGGAAGGGAAAGGGGACTTAATTAGGCCTCGGGACGCACACTCATCAGACGAAACGCGGAATTGCTTCCACTTGACGCCTGTCTTCTGTGTGGTCGTGGTATTTCACCGGGCGACCTGGGCCAATTCATGCGAAGATATTAAAGCGGGCTCTACCACTGTTTTCTTCTATCTTCTCTACCTTTGACATATACATTGAATCGAATTACTCAAAAATTACACAAACGTTTATATATCGATGTATGTTCTAAGATGGGTCAACAGATCTTGATGAAATTAGGCACAGATGTTGAACATAAAGTTTTTTTAATTACGCTCGAACGGAGTCGCAAGCGGCAGCTAGTCAATTGTTAAAAAGCTCTTCTGTCAGCTTAAAATCTATGCATAAGTTCTATTTAGCGGATTTATAAATAAATTAACATCCATATTAGCGTTTGATTAAAGTGACGCAGATTTTAATCACTTGTTTCCTTAAAATAAATTACGCCAGTGAATAGTAATGCAATTTCTTGTTAAAGTCACGTTTCGTCTTAATGAATCACAATAAAAATATTTCTCCGTGCGCGATAAAACTTGGCGCCACGATACTTACCAGATAGTATTTATTATAAGGCGCCTTTATCATTCATAATCTTAAAACTTTGTTCAATGGATTTACCTCCTTATTATTTAACGTGAAGGTCCAAAATTCCTTTTCCTTTTCCTTCTGATAATTTGTCAGAGCATGCTGCTATAATTGATTTGAATTGGAGGTGTGAGCTGATTAAATACCTTTGTTTTAGATTATAAATCAATATTCATTTTAAATGCGTTTAGTTTTTTATTTATTTATATTTTAAGGGGACATTATTCGTTTCTAAGTCATTCACAGAGACCAGTAAAAGCTCATCATTTAAAAAAAATCTTTAATATATGTCTTCTCTCAATCTAAGAAGATCCGCTCGTCAGGTCGGCATCCTTTCAATTTCTTATCTTTATATCTTTATTTGAGTTTGTAACTCTCATATTTACGTCTGCTTTGCAACGTATAAATAAATTTATTCTGTGGAAACAACACTCAGATAACTAGGTCATAGAATAAAGGATACATATACCATTTCACAGATCCTTGATATAAACTTTTACTTTCCACATATTGCATAATGCCATCCATTTCTATACCCGATTCACATTATTACAGTACAGCGATTGCATTTGACAGTTGTTATCCAACGCTTATTTTGATTGCTGGACTGGAATAATGTAAACAGGCTATTTCATTAAGCTGAAATTGTGTTTTACAAATTAAGTTGTTTTTGAAATTATATGTTGCATAATACCATCCAATAGTAAAAACTACGCAACAAAAGGGAGAGTGGGAGACATAAAGTTCTGCTCTAAGTTTTCTTGTTATTCATTCAACATATTATTTGAAATCGTTTAAAATGGAAATATTTAAAGACATTTGTTAGTTCTCATTAGTAACAAAGGTAATTAGCGGTATTTTCCAATTAAGTGGTTGATACTTTGTGTCAAATGTCTTGCAGTGTTACGCATTCAATGACATTCACATAGTAATAAAATATTTAACTGTGTAAAACATTTAAAAATGGTAATATATAATATGTCGTAACTGACACCAAAATTGCCACTGTCCTTATGCAAAGTCTTATTGGAATAGAGACATCCCTACTAAAATCGTCTTTACAATACGCATAAAGGTGATACATGCATCTGACATATCGAAAGTTATTGACCACATACATTTTCGACATTTTAATTAGCGATATCGTGTCTTTAGGGAGCTTTAGACAAAGTATTTTTTTTTCGATAGAGCTCTGGCGCTTATTCTGCCTCGCACTTTGGTGTTTAGCTAGACAAGCTTCTTGAGTTGATATTTCTTTCTCTTGTGTTTGGGTTGTTTGGGCCCCTAGCTATATGTTGTGTTGTGTTGCAGGTGCGGGATGGCGGTGCGACGGTGGTAGAGCGGCGGAGGGCGGCCGGGCGGGCTCGCGCGCCCCCCCGCGCCCGCCGCCCGCGCCCTGCCCGCGCCCCCCGCCGCGCCCAGCGCCCTCACCTGCTACTATGCTCATGGCAAGCGCCCTCTCCACTTTGCTCGCGGTAAGTTCACGTATACTCTACTCAGAGTGATCAATAAAGGAACCCTAATAATTTGGCATAATTTAACTTAACTATTTATGCTATGCGCATCCGTATAAATATAAATAACCTATAAATAAAAAACAATATTAATAATTCATATTCCCATATCGGATAGTCGATGAACAACTTGTTCACAATTGATCGATAAACTTGAATCCCTATAAATATTAAATAATATTACAATAATAATTAGAATTCTTGTACTAACCATATTTATGATAAAATTAACATTCTTTAATGTCAAATGTATGAGTTAAGGCATAATAGGTTCCCCTATTAATCGTTCTTCATAATAACTATTGGTGTATTATGAAACATGTTGTCTTTGTTTTATCAAAGTGTTAGAGTAGGATGGCATGTTTTTAAACTGGTGATACGAAATTGGACTACGTTGTATCCAACGGTAGGAAGTGTTGTGTAAATCCGTCAAATTTTGTAGCACATCTCAATTTACATTATCTGTCAGTAATGTGAATGTTTATATAATCTGTAATTAAAGCTGTCAGCGCCCTCTACGCCGAATTATAAGCAACATATCAACGTCGCGGCTGTTAACATTTGACCGGAGTATGTTGCGTTTAGGTTAACATTCGTGTCATGTTTGTGATTTGACTTCGCTAAATGAATTAGTTATGATCGCGTAAGGGTTACAATTAGATTTTTATAATAAATATAAAATTTAATAGTATTATTTATCAATTTTTGTACTTATTACAATACGAAAATTAGGATATCATTAGATATTCCCAATATAAGTTTTAAGCGTCAATAGCCTAATGGTGGGTACGTATTTCCGATCACGAGGTCGGGGGTTCGAATCCCGCCATTCGACTATTGTCGTAAACCATATCCTAGCACAAGCCTAGAGCTAAGGAGAGGTAAAAGAAATGTTTGTAAATTAAGATAAAAAATCTGCTATTTTTTTTATTAAAAAATATGGTTGTGATAAATAAATAAAATAAAAATAACTTCATGTACTAGATAATGTGCTTATAATTTTGACAACCATATTTTTACCATATTACAAAATAGGGTTGACACAAGCAGTAAAATAAATATCGTAATTAAACTTCTGATTGTTGCATTGTAACAAAAAAACACACATGTTACGGTCAATTTGTTCTTTATAATGAATTCATTAACTAAACAAATAATTTTTGCCTTTATAACAATGGCTCAATTACTATATTCGACATAATCCAATTTGCTGCAGACGGTCTTTGTTTCCGCTCCACCGGTGTCGGTCTGGTTAGCACCGGTGTCATTTGGGAAATTATTAAATCATATTAAATTATATATGTATAGTGGCCATATAACCGAGGATCCGCATCTACTTATATTGGTCGCTAAGGGTATCTTAATGTATATTTATTAAACTAATTCTACACTGTGTAACTGTGAGTGAAGCAGATGCTAAAAGATGTTTTTCTTGCTACATTAATTAAAAAAATATGTATTTGAGTTAAGATTTACAATTGAACTCTGTAGATGGCGCTTTTATTTATTTGAAATTTTAATTTTTGATTATTAGTCTGTGGTTTACAATGTTATCAACATAAAAGCGTTATTCCATTAGAGCCGACAAAAATAACGCGTTAATCCAATTTCTTAATAACGTTAAAAAATGATAAAAATATCTTTGTTTTATTTTGATCGTATATTAATTGATTTTAAATGGCCGCTTCATTGCTACAAACATAAGCCGATGTCGGCGTCTTATGTGCTGCTAAAATCAGGACGGTCAATTAGTTTGCTTTGAATGACCATCATTAGTACTAAGTTTGTCCAAGATTAAAAAAACAACGAAACACCGCAAATAGCATTCCGTATTTTACACATAAACTCAAAATGTTGCGATTTATGACTACATTTATTACAAACTAAAAAAAAACATAAAACGTTAATTGTTTCATCATTTAAAACTCTTCAAAAATAATCTGTCACTTATTTGACATGGTTCAGTATTTTTCGAAAGTACAAAACAGTAACGAGAATATTATCATAGTGAATCAATTTAAACACTACATTATTCAAGTATCAAAATTTAACCAAATAAATATTTATATTATTCATAATTACTACCAAAACAAATTTCGATATAAATGTCAACACTTTGTTAAAGCAATAAAAAATCTTGTTTTTTATTAATTGACTTTTATTTTTTTTCCACGCCAAAAGGCGAAATGGCCACAATTTCATTAGATTGGCCGTTTATAAAACGCTTTCAGTATCTTGACAGCGACGTGTGGCAGTGCGCAGGCGATCGTTGTCCGTTGAGCACGTTTAAAAAAAAACTTTTCTCTATGCGCCGAAGAAAAGGCGCGAACAGCGCGTGTTGAAAAAAAACATGATTTCTTAATTCTACGTTTATTACAATGAGATAATATTATTAGTATTTAATATTTTTGTGTTAAATAATGTTTCAAGTGATATTTTAATAAATAAGTGTTTATGTAAATGAAATATATTTCAAATGAACGCAAGTGTCGGCCTTAAATTTTATGTATGATTTATTCAAGCCCTTGGATAAATTTATTTTTGCTCATGGCAATTAAAATGGTAAGTTTTCAAATTGCTATTTTAATAATATTTATTACACAATACAGATTATACATTATGAAATTGGTTTTCGTAACAAAATAGTTATATTGAAAAAATTATCGATTACTCTAATTCCTTAAAAAAAATAATTAATTCTATTGTCGCGTTCCATTTACGAAAAAGTGATTCACTAATTCATAGTCTATTATTTTTAAATGAATTCTGTTGCTACCGTTACATTTAAATTAACAATTCTAATTATTTAAAAAGGTGACCTTTTTATTTTGTTTATGGCTTTTAAATCGTATTTTTTAATTCTGCGGCAAATACTTTTGTCACGTAATAATATGTTAATTTCATTAACTTATTGATCGTTAGAATGTTTTATTCACATAGAAAACCACAATAATTACAAAAATTTTCCTTTTCCTCTTTAACTAAACTTGTTAAACAATGAATAATACTAAATTTAAACAACAATTCATTTTGAAATGCTTACAATATTAGTCAAACTATCAATCGATTGATTCATCAATTGCTAAGACATAACCAGAGTAATAACAAAGAAAAATTCACTTACTTAATACGATACTAGGCGTACTTGATACATAAATGAATAAGCCTTCACGTAACGAATTACGAAATAAAGGAATCTTTCGTCCTTTACTAAGACAAAAAAGTTATTCCTAAATTATCCAGTACTACTTAATTAAAAAAAAAAGTATAATCATCATCGTATACAAAATTATATCTAATGCCATCTTAATTTTCAAAATTATTCCAACTCTTTACTTATAACATAGTCATAACCTTATTTAGAATAACCATCTACGGTTCAGTCAGACTTTTAGAACATTTAATAAAATATGACGTAAACTTATTATAACACTAGCAGTTGCCTGCGACTCCGTCTGCGCGGATTTAAAAGAACATATTTAGTAGCATGTGTTCTTCCTGACTATGTTCCACATCTATGCCAAATTTTATCAGAATTCGTACATCCGATCTGGAGATATCTTCAAACAAACATCCATCTAAAACATCGTTTATAATATTAGTAAGAAGACTTTGATTAAATTGCCAATTGTGGTATAAATAATATTGAAAACGTTAGTACATCTGAATTACCATTAACATAATAAAAGCTGGAGCTTATTGAATAAATATGGCATGAGTGGTGATTGTGAAACCACACGTACTGCAGTCAATTTACGTCACTCAGCTATTGAAATATAGTAACGTGACAAATGCATTTATATTAAATAATACATATAATAAAACAAAGATCATGTAGCAAGGACGATGAAACAGACTGTCTTTATAACTTTGTGATTTTATATCATCAAATTACTCGTAAATAAAATAAACATAAAATAAAAATATTAAGGCCCCTTTTCACTTTGACAAAATTGCGATACCGATGTGTTTTAAGTCTTTCGCCAGTGGAAATTGGCAGTAAAGAGACTTTTTACTAAAGAGTATGCAAACTTATTAACTCTCGGAAATATTTCTAGATATAAAATTATAAATCGTCAAAAGTTATAACACATTAAGTAGATATCTTCAGATGATTCAATTCAATTTATTAAAATTCTTTCGTCATAGTTAAGTAATACTTGCTTGTTTTACTTTTAGAGAGTTTGTGTCAGTACCGCACAAATTGAAGTCCGTAGTCTCTGCCTACCCCTCTGGGATAACCTATATTATAGCTTATAAGTGCGTGTTTTACGTTTACTTTTTATAGAGACTAAAACATATATTCTATTGATTTAAATAATTATCAAACAAAAGGCAGTCGATATATTTATAAAAGTTTTTAAAAAGAGATTAAAAATGTTGTTTTCAGTTAATGTAAATCACTCAACGCCGTTGTTAACTTAAAAAGGTAAACAATTTTTACATCCAATTATAATGGAAATAGATTTGGACGGAAGTTATAAAACTTCTAAGACAAATACGTAAAGAATGGTGGTTTGCTCTTTCTAAGACTTTAGAAAAAAAAAAACTAATTTTGAGGAATTTTTCCTGTCACATACATATGATATGTGTCACTTAAATTTTAAGGAGTTTAGGTAGTTTAATAGTTCAAAGGTAAAATAATTAAAAGCTTTAAAACAATCAATCCATTTAGCCCTTATCGGCCAAGCCTCTCGACAATGGACCGCGCATTGACCTCCATAAGCATTGTTCTAAGACCTAGGTCTCTCTGACTCAGGCGCGAACAACTGTTATCAAAGCCTTGACTTTGATGATGTAATTCCGTGTTAAATACGAACTGCAAACTTCTCTACATTTCCTTATGATAAGGAATCTGGATTTATTTGTGTTTGTCTAAAACCAGCTAAAGGAGTAGTTACGCGAAATTATAAATGCAGTTTTAGACGCAATTATATTTTGTCTAAAAGCTAGGCTTTAGCTTAGCTTTATTTATCTTCTTTCAGTACTTATTATTAAGCTAAGATTTAATTCCTTTTAAAATGCGTATTAAATTCTTATAGTTTACACATTATGAAATAAGCCTGTACTTGCGAAAAATATTGACCGTATATCAGGTTATTGTCTTGGAAGTCAACTTGATAAGAATAGAACCCAAACGTTGAAATGATTCTGTAGGTCCTAACATTAGTTATTCCCTATTGACTAATATCCAATGTGATGTTTGAAACCCCTAAGGTACCGGACATTAACTTATACAAATTATTACTAATACTGTGGGCTTCTGATACTAAAAGCATTAACAGAACAGAGATAACGATATACTTTAAACTGGGAATTTGGTTTTAGAAACCCACGTTTAACGTAGTGCAACTATAAACCAGAGTATTCCGCACCTTGACCGTTGACATTGACCATCAGAGATATCACCTTACATAATTCGATTGTAACAAGACGCGGCGCTGTCTAGCTGCCACCGGTGCTAACCACAACAAATTTAACAAAACAATTTGCTGTCTTTCAACTGACACTTGTTACTAACGTGGTAGGGTGCGGTTAATTCATTCTATTACCTCTAAACTACACGTATTAAGGTGCTTAAATTGTTATTTTCATCGTTACTGTACGTATTAATATGTTTTTAGTTATTCTGTTTGTCGTTGCCTTGATATGCAGCAGACAAACAATACGTTAAATCGATAATCTCTGAAATCTTAAAAATCAAAGATAGTAATAATTATTTGCAGCGTCAGCCTGTTTGCTAATATTTGTTAAAAGGGATCCCCTCTTTTTAATGTTACATTTACAAGTTAGTTAATATTTACGTAAAACTTTGAAATAATGCTACGAAATACGTAGAATATTATGTATATTTCTCTGATGTCAATAATATAATAGTGACAACGCATATGCACTTGCATATGTCTATGGGCAACGGTCACTTCGTTATTTCAGCGATTTCAGGTGGCTGCGCGCTCGTTTGCCACCTTATGATATAATAAAAAAAACTATAAATCCTTCAAATAAAATTTCGTGGAAAATAACTGATTCTTGCAGGAAGTCTAGATAAATATTTTCACAAATTAGCTCGTATCTATACAATAAATGATATCTAAAGAATGTGTACTATCGCATTATGTATATAATTTTGTTGTTATATTGGCGTTATCGGTAAAAAAATCAATTGATGAGATTAAAGTATTTGTGCGACTTATACAATAAAGTCTAGACGCCAGGAAAATTCATTTTAAAATGATATTGTTGAAATCAATCATTATGATGGACGTTGGAATTCCCACTCTTGATATAAAGATTTCTAACTACGCAATATTACAAAATATCTCATTGTTTTATCGTTGGTAACAACTCGTTGTCATGTGCCAAAACTGTTTCTCTGTTATTTCTATAGGGTCATGTTTATAAGATTTGGAATCGGAATCTCCTTCTAGCTACTTTAGAGGGCCATCTTTAGATTTCATTCGCACGGGCGTTTTTATCGCGCGGTAAAAAGCTTTCAAATAGAACAAAATTAACATCTATGTATCTGGTCATACAGCAATGATTTAAAAAAAATATTGCGTAGTATTTCACTTTGCTCGACGAAAGGGACATGGCCGCGAATGCCATGTTCTAACGCGGCGTTAAAAAAGCGCTCGTATAAACGCTTAGGGCATTTGACAACTTTATCACTAAGTTCTTTAATAAGTTAGTATATTAACCTACTTTATTGGTTATTGCTGCCATTTAATAAATTTAAAATGAACCAGGAGAACGCACAAAATTATATATTCACATGTGACTGTAAATTTTTACAATTTGCCGAACAAATTGTGATATTCAATATTTAAAGATGATCAAACAGTACAGGATATTAATAGATATTGACATTTGTATCACAAATAGTATAAGAATAAAGTCGACAAATATGCAAGTTGGCGACACACAGATGGACAAATTGATTTTACATCGATTTTTTTTTGTCTAAATGTTGACAGATTTGAGAAATAACGGCACTTAAATCGGGGGGAAAAAGGCGCAGCAATATCAGATTTACTTTTCATCCAAATTTAAACCCAGATTAACTTGAAACTTGAAAGTTATTCCAATAACTTAGTTTTAGCTGTGTCATTCTTGCAAATACTAATTGCAAATGAGTAAATAAAGATACATAAATGACAGTAAAGATATCTTTATATATAATATTGAATATAACTAACAAAATTAGAGACTCGTGTATAAGTTATAAATAAAGTTGCAAGTTATTTTAATAACATAGAAACATGAACAGCAAGAAATTAATGTAGTGAAACATACGGACTGTCACTGAACCAAGAGAAACGGTCGTAGCTTTATTGAGTTAGGGCATTACGCACTAGCGAATGTAGGGAAGCAATAAAATAAATAAGTCACTCTCATTCTATACTTAGTACTTTTAAAATAGTATCGTTAATAGTATAATAGTATAATTCGTTTTAGCTATACCTACGGCCTGGGCGAGATTTCTACAACGCCCTTAATTTTCCTTGCCTTTAGGATAGGGGATTAACGGGATTATGTGAGACTGTAATTTACAATTACATACC